GCGGCGCGGCCACTTTTTGGTTAGTGAGATTGGCTGCAGAGGACCCCCCCACCCCAGTCAGTGTGATCAGCCACCAGTCACTGACTGGTGTCTGGGGGGGAGGGGGGCGGGTGGTGGTACGCATCCCCCCGACTCAAGAGGCACCAGTCGCCCATGTAGCGAGATAAGCAGTAGGGTATCCCTGGGATCTATGATGTTTAACAGGCTCGTAAACAATTTGGAAAGGATGAGAATGACGAGGCCAAATTTACAGATCTCTCTAAATTATTCATGGTGGCAAAAAACAAAGCTGAACTACACAAGTTCTTTGGAAGTAAAACTGCAGAAGTAAAATTGAATGAACAGTAGGGCTATCTGAAGCTTTGGTAGCCTATTCGATTAGGAGGAGATTTGACCTGATTCGGTGACCGAATCGCTGAATCCAAATCAAAATGGGAGACCAATTAAAAGCTCTGAATCGAATCGGAAGCCTCTGAATCGATTTGGAAAAGATTCAGCCGATTTGGAGATTCAGCCAGAGACTGAACAGGCAGCAGTCCTCACCATGCTGACACAGCTGCCTCCAGCTGGTAAGTCTGTTGTGGTGGGGCAGAGGGGGGAGGGAAGGATTGAGACTGGGGCTGGGACAAGCTGCCTAGTCAGGGCAGGGGGTGTGGGACTTGGGAAGGGGGGTGTGGAATGCAGGCGCAGCAGTGCTTGGAAGAGGGGGCTATGCCCTGCTGCTGTTTGCCCAGCTGGAGCGGGGCAGGATGCAGGTGCAGTGCACTCCAGGCAGAAGGGGGAAAGTAGCAGCAGGGCATAGCCCCTGCTCCCAGCAGTGCCGCACCCACATCCTGCATTGGCTGCACCAGCAGCAGCAGTGCCTGCTCCCCCGTACCCCCTGGGCCAGCAGCGGAAGGGCAGAGCCCCTGCTCCCACTGCTGATACAGGTACAGCAGTGCTGGAAGCAGGGGCTATGTCCTGCTGCCGCTTGCTCAGCCAGGGTGGAGGGGGCGCGCGATGCAGGCATGGCTTGCTCTGGGCAGAAGGGGGCAAGCGGCAGCATGGCAGAGTCCCCATACCCAGTGCTGCTATGCCCGCATCCCCTACCCCCACTGCTGGGCAAGCAGCAGCAGGGTAGAGCCTCCATTCCCAGCACTGCTGCACCAGCATCAGCGCTGGGAGTGGGAGCTCTACCCTGCTGCCACTTAACCAGCTGGTGCGGGGGGGCAGGCACTGCCGCCACCTGCCCAGCCAGGGTAGCAAGGCGCAGGATGCAGGCATGGCACCGCTGGGAGCAGGGGCTATGCCCTCTTGTCGCTTGCCCCCTTCTGCCCGGAGTGAGCCGCACCTGCATCCTGTCCCTCCACCCCGGCTGGTCAAGCAGCAGCAGGGCATAGCCCCTGCTCCCAGCGCTGCTGTGCCTGCATCCCGTGCTGCGCGCCGCCCCCCCAAGACCCACACTTCTCACCCAAGCTGGGCAGCTTGTCCCAGCCCCAATCCCTTCCCCCTCTGCCCACCACAACAGACTTACCAGCCGGAGGCAGCTGTGTCTACCGTGGTAAGGACTGCTGCACCTGTTTAGATAATGGCCAAATCTCCAAAGCAGCACCAAAACTTCGGATCTGATTTGGCCTAATTGAATTGGGACAGTGATTCGAATCTCTGAATTGAATCATTGTCCCTCTGAATTGGCTGAATCCGAAGCAAATACTTGCTGCTTTGCATAGACTTAGTGAACAGACAGCAAACTGGTAGATGACATTCAGTGCTGTTAAGTGCAAAGGGATACATATACATGATGATGGACTCTACAGTCACTGCTATTCACATCTACACCTTGAATACTATCTATTCTGTGCCGTTCTGTTTCCCCAGTCTCCAAAGGACTATAGTAGAACTAGAAAAGGTACACAGAAGGACTAGAGGGATGATTAGGGACATGGAGAAGCTTCCGTGAGGACAGACTAAACAGGCTAGGATTGTTCAATTTAGAGGGAAGATGATTGTGGTGGGAAGGGGGTGATATGATGGAGATGTATAAATTATAAGTAATGTGGAAAAATAAATAGGGATATACCATTTAACGTTTCTCACAACAGTAGAACTAGGGAACACAAGGAAATTATTAGGAAGTAGTTTCAAAATGAAAGGAAATTATTTTTCACACAGCATGTAATTAATTGTGGAACTCACTACCACAGGACCTTGTAGAGGTTGACAGTTTAAACAGGTTCAAAACTTGGTGTAACAGATTTAACAGGATCCAACTCAGAAGATGGCCACAATGCCCTTTGGTTGCTGTACCACTCCTGCTCTCACCTGCTTGGGACTCTCCAGCCACAGCCCCATCTTTGCCTGCCAGGCCTTTATGATGATAAATATAGATGTGGGAGGCTGCCCCCACAGTACTAGGACAAGCCTTAGGTTCTTCATTCTGCTGTCTTGATCGTTAGGCTGCCTTGGTTTGGCCCAATCTCTGCCTCAAGCAAGGCACTGCTCTGTCTGGCTTCAGCCTCCTCACTCTCCCTCTCTCTCTCCATAGTGCCCTGCTTTGGTCCTACCTTGATCCACCCAGCCCCTTAGTTTGTATCATAAAAGACAGGGTGCATCACTAATGCCCCTGTGGCTTTGCAGGCCAAACTTTTAACAGCCCCTCCCTAGAGCACAGCTTCATGGCCTCCTGCCTTCCTATCAGCCACACCCATGCCTCATGGGTAAACAGAAACATAGGGTGCATACAGAAATGCAGCTCTCAACTGTAACTCCAAATGACTCCTGCAAAGCGTTCTGAGTTACGTTACCCCAGACCAAACAGAAGTTCACTGCTGGTTCCAGGGTGGGTGGAAACATAGCTGTGGGCTGGGAGCCTACAGCCAGGTTACCATAAAAATGACCAGGGCTCTTTGCCAGGGGTTGCTGTTTTCAGAATGGGAGAGGAGAAAAGCAGTGAAGACAGTTTGTTCTTGAGGCTCCCCAGCTGATGCTGGAGGGTAGGGTGGGTGAACTGGAGTGTCCCCCTCCAGAGGGCTCCAGTACACCTACCCCACACTACGTGGGGACTGAAAAACCCTAGACTGAACTCCCTCTGCTCCCTTTCCCCCCACCTCCCATTCTGAAAATGGGGACAGGCTGTGAGCTGGAAAGACAAGTTACAAAAGATGCTACATTTTTAAATGTCTTTATCTCAGGGGTGGGCACAATGCAGCTCACCAGGCCATTCTATCCACGAGGCCCCCCAAATTTTAGAAAATTAATATTGACCCTGGCTGCCTGTATTGCGGCCCTCGATGGCTTGCCAAAACTCAGTAAGCGACCCTCTGCCCAAAATAACTGCCCACCCCTACTTTATCTGCTACTTCATGCAATGAGGGGTTAGATTTTCATCCCATTTTTAAGCTGTCTGTAGCTGTGCTCTTGTGCTTGGTCACAGCTATAAACTGCTTTCTGTGGCCAGATCAAGTGAAAATTCTCAGTTCTATCTGCACCCATAAATCCCCAAATAAAACTACTAACCCATTTGGGTACACTCACCAGAGCAGATCCTTGCCCATCCCTACTAGCTGGCAGCGTTTGGGGCTTCCTCTCGCCTCCAGCTTCCTACCCCCACAGCTGAAGGCAGGGCACCCTGTGAGCAAAGGGAGCCCTCTGGCTTGGGGAACCCATGCTGCATGGTATCCAGCCCTAACAGCATATGGGCCTCCGGCTGTAGTGTGGCCCCTGCAGCAGGTAGCCAGGGCCTGTGGTCTCCAGCCACTTTCAGAAGTTGGGGCAGTCCTGTTTTATATCATTAAGTGCAGCTAGTTCAACTATCTTTTATTTGGCTTCTAGCTTCTTCAAATGAATTTTCTTTGCTCTACTGCCCTCTTCCCCTTCTGCAAGTGACTTTTCACTTACATAATAGAGTTAAACAAAAACGATTGTTTTAACCTACTATTTAGCTTATGCTTTATCTGTCTTTAGAGACAGATCTGAGATGTCTCTCACAGCCCGTAAGTATGCACAGCATCCAACAGCTTGTCTAACATCTCTCCCAGTCACATACTTACACTGACAAAATGCATTACCGAATCAACTCTACTTCTTTCAACAGTGTTGGAGAGCTGTTCTAACTGTGATAGTTCAGAAAACATAAGAGGGGCAAGGGTTTGGGGTTTTTTTTTGGGGGGGGGGATCTCTTTTATTGAATCAACTGAGGAAAACCTGTTAGCACAGTTAAAAAGAGCACAACCCCCCTTACCTTGCTTCTTGCATATTTCCTGAGCTATCATCACAGCTAAACAAACCTAACATCCCACTGCACCCAGGTAGATCTGCAACCCCAAGGTGACAGGCTTCCCTGTGCTCAGAGGCAGCTGTTAGGAAGGAAGGAACTGTCCTGCTCCAGGAGAAAAATGGGGGAGAAGCAGGTCACATTCCCCAGGTGAAACCAGCCCTACCCTGGTTCAAGGGGGACACATCACATAGCCACAACACCCTCATTATGGGCATTCCCAGCTCCCCCTGCCCATATCCTCTCACCCACTGACAGAAAGGAAGCCACCTATCAACGCCGCAAGCGACAGCAGGCCCAACCCCTGCCCAACGCGCAGGCGCAGACGGCGTGGACCCACGTGGAAGGCTCCTACGGGGCTGGACCACGGATTCGAAATACTCGCGATGGGCGGGGCGAGGAGTGGCCGCAAACGGCTTGTGCCAGGGGCGGGGCCAACGGCTCCCGGCTGCTCGAGGGGCGTGACCAGCCCGTGCCGGTTTTGGCGGGAAAGCCGCGTTCTACCATTGCTTCTGTCACGTCCCTCCACGCCCTCGCGGCGGAGCGGGTCCAGCTCCCGCCGCCACCTCCGGTTCCCATGGCTGAATTGGCTCCGCGCTGCGGGCAGGGGCCGAGGCCTGTAGCACACGCGCCTCTCCCGCCCCGACCACACCCGCCGGCCGAGGCCAGGCGTGAGGGTGGCCTCATCCCACGCGGCGCCATCTGCGCCCTCCTCGCTCCCGGGCCCCCCCGACCCCCAGTTACTCACCGCACTGTCCGGCTCCATCTCCCCCTTCACACCGGCCTCAAAGCCGCCGCGGCACGTTCCCGGCACGCTGCTCCCTCCTCACGCGCCGCCAGCTCAGAGCGCGGCCGCCAGCCTGTGCCGCCAACAGAACAGGCGGCGTCAGGCGGAGGGCGGGCGGGCCCAGAAAACAGAGGTGGGCGCGGGAGAGGAGAGAGGGGGTCTCCCAAATGCCCGGGGCGGGGAGCAGAGGGGCACACAGGGAGGGAGGTTGATACTGAGGTTGTGAGAAGCGACCGCGGAGAAACAGGAGCGGGCGGGCGCTGCTTCCCGCGCCAACAACTTATTTTCCCGTCTGTGGGGCCCGCAAAGTTACCCCGGCCTGCGCCTCCCGAGGCTGGCCCCCATTTCCCCTCCAAATAAGCCTACACAGCTGTCCCCACCAGACCCGACCCCCCAATTGTTACCCCCCTCCCTTATCAGGCAACCCCCCAACTCCCGCCTAGTTGTTGCCCCCCTTCCCCTCAGCAGCCCAGCCAGCCACCCCTCCTCCCTTCCAGCCCCCTCAGCTATCACACCCGGCCCTTTCTGCCACCCTCTGGAAGTCCCCCCCCTTGGGAGCCCTTTGCTCTCCCTGCTCCCCCTTCAGTATAGGGGGTGACGGGAGGCTGCTGCTCCTCCCCCGGAGCCCCCTGCAATTATGTTTCCATTATTATCACCCTCCCCTGCACTTACTGCCCCCACCCCAGGATGCAGCTTGTGCCCCGCGTCATGGGAGATCTGTGTTTGGGGCCCTGCCTGACAAGCCGCACCCCTGGCCCCCGCTCCACCGCTGCCATGCCTTGCACCTGTTGGTACTGTCACTCACCCGGAGAGCTCGGGGACATGCATGCCCAGCTCCCAGGCTCTTGGACACCCGAAAGGCGGGCTGTGAGAGTGCGGCTTGCTCACCCCGACACAGTGAGTCACTAGCCTGGCGTGCCACGGGTAGCTGCAGCTGGGTTAGTGTCTGATTTCCAGGCCCCGAGCAGCAGGAGGAGGCAGGGCAATACTGCTGGCGCCGGGCGATCTTCTATTCCCTGTGCGCGTCTCAGTGTTTCTGACAGTTGCACGCATCCCCCTCTCCCTCCCCTCCCCTCCCCCTCCCCGAGTATCATTTCCCCACGAGCCCCCAACACGGACAGAGACGCACATGCTAATCCCAGGCTGGCTGGCACACAAACATACAGGAACAGTGCCAGAGGAGGGTAGTATGGATCTTTCAGATTGCAGATCTGCGAATAAGGTAGCCTGTGAAACATAAAGCAAAGTCTCCACACACGATCCCAAGAAGGGAAGAGATTAAAAAAAACCAACACATCAAAGTTCTTTTCGATCCCCATTACCCGGGGAAACATTGTGAACACATAGGAAATACCTGCCAGTTGTATTCTCGCTTCACAAGAGGTGAGAAACCCAATACAATTTCAGAAATACATTCTTAACACGCCTCACCCCAGTTCTATGACTAGGATTAGGCTTCAGAATGATCTTGCTACTGGAGAAACAGTTCAAAATTAGTTGAATGAAATTCAGTGAGGAGGAGTGCAACATCCTGCACTTGGAATAGAACAATCAAACACCAATGCAATGTAGGGCATGACTGTCTAGGGGCCACAGCACTGAAGAAAAGATCCCAAAGAACCACAGGTTGAATATCATACACAGTGTATTCATATTGCATCCTCCCCCCCCCAAAAAAAAACAAGCAAAAAAACCCAGAACACCCCACAAAAACTAAAAACCCAAAGCCAATGGTATACTGGGCTGTAGTAATGGAGTCATTTGCAAGTCTAGGGAAGTGATTCTTCCACTCTAGTCAGGACTTGTGAGGCTCCACATGAAGTACTGTGTTCTTTTTTTTATTAGAGAGAGATTTGAGTACTATATTTGAAAAAAAAGCCGTGGATAAATTGGAAAGTGTCCAACAGAGAGCAACAAACTTATGAGATCTAGAAAACATGATTTAGGAGAAAAGCATGAAAGAAATGGGATTATTTAGACTGGAAAAGAGAAAGCTGAGGTAAGACTTAATAACAGTTCATATACATGAAGGGAGGTTATCAAGCAAATGGCGATAAAGCTATTTTCTTTGGTTGCAGGGGACAAGACAAAAAGTTGGTAAAATATGAGGCTCTGAATTTTTCACGGTAGTTGCACCTGTAAAGGTTGCAGAGGACTCCTAAGGCAGTACAATCATTGCAGAACTTCAGTTAGAAAGATATTCATTCACTGAACCCTGACTTTTTTTTTTAAACAAGATACTGAGCAAGAAGGATATAGTTTTTGTCCATATATTTCTTTGCTGCATTGGGAATGTAATCCAGGATTTAGGGCAACTACACAGATTTTTACCAATTTGCAGTGATGGAAATAAAAATGCAAACTTATCACACAAATGCTTATTGTTAGTGAAGGAAGTGATACTCATTCCTTTATACTTAGGGTGACCATATGGGACAATGTGAAATTGGGGACATTGCCCCCCACCACCCTTGCTGCTTCTCAAGTCAGCTGTGCTACTGGAGGCAGGGACAGGAGATCATGGAAGAGCTCTGGTATTACCTTTCAAGCAGCTAAGGGAGTCAATGGCACGTTAATGACCCTGTATGCTTTACTTCACAGGTGTTAACAATCTTCTCTCCTTTTCCATGGTCATTCCACTTCACAGCTTGGGCTGCTCCGCCTCCCCACCCCACACCCACCCTGGACCAGACACTGTTTTAATTTTCACTGGCTGTCCGGGACAGCCCAAATCCAGAACTGTCCCAGCCAAACTGAGACGTATGGTCACCCTATTTATACTACCACTGCAGGGGATGCAAGGGTATACAAGGAACATGGAGGTCTCAAATGACAGCACTGACTAAATGGTCTCAGCTTGCTCATAGGAGGTACAAGCAGTTTCAGTGGAATCTCTGTAAACAAGGGCATCTCAAAGAGCTGCCATTGCTATATAATCAGTAACAATGCAGCATGTTCTCAGTTTGGTAGCATGTCCTCAATTCCACTTTCAGCATACAGTTCCATTTGCTTTTTTCAATTTCTCCAGTGTTTCACACTGATTAATCATTATGCTAAGAGCATTCTTTTATTCACTGCAGGACATTATCTTCAATTAACAGAAATAACCTTGTCATATTTCATTTGGAAGTCCATCACACACACACAGTGTATATGTACTGTCAACAAATGGCTGAGTTTAACTATCTACTTAAACAACGTACAGACAATTGCTATTGGGATCTTCCAATGTAGTATCTTCCAATGTAGTATCTTTCAATGTAGGCCTTTACTAATTTTCCTAAAGGGGTAAAACCTTTAGCCAATAGCAAACTCAACCTCTGTAGGCCAAAGGAAAAGGGTGGATGTAGGTAGTATCCTTATCCATTCAATTACTAATTAAGCATTAATGAGAAGAAAATTCCTTCTTATTCCCTATAGGCAACCCCAGGAAGCCCTGAAGTATGGGATTATCAGACACCTCTTCAATGGAGAAAGAATACCCTTTCAACCTTAGTGGGGAATACTTCTATCCACATATCACACAAAATGATTATTAATCTAAGAATCTTCACAATCAAGTGATGATTACCTCTTAGTGAAATGTTTGAAGTCAGAAGATAAAATTACATCAAAAATAAAAAGGAGCATTAGCAGAACTGAGAAAAATTCAGTAAGCTTAATAGTTATTTTTATGAAGACCTGCTGAATTATAATTATTGACCTAATTTTATGAATACCTAGCACAAAGCAGCAAGGTAGATCCTAAGAAGAGCACATGGTTTCTACATACTTTCAACTGATGTGCCTTTGAACTTGTCAACTCAAAACATGAAAGGCACATGAAAGACTCCTGTACTTCCTTTCAAAGCATTAAAACAACCTGAGACATGAAATATTACACTGCATATTATTAATTGCTGGATTTTTTATGATCAACCTCAACTCTAAATCTTTGACACCTTATGTTTAGGACTTAAAGATCATGATGAAAAGAGGGTTTTTTTGAGAACTGATAGGAAAGGCTGACCTATTTTTTATTGTGATAATTCCCAATCAGAAATCCTGATCAGTCAAAACACTGGTAATCAAAGTTCATTAAACGAATAGAGTAAAATTGGTAATAATTTTAAGCCTGTATTAATCAAAACTAAAAAGACAGTTGTGGTCCTTTTGTTTTATACACTTGTGCCCGTTTTGTTTTCTTCCTCAGGGTCTAGGGAAGAAAAAGCTAGGAATTAAGCAAACAAACACAATAGTGAAGGGAAAAATGATAAGAGAGATTTGTGACTGAGTGAGGGGCAGAAAGGAAAATACTACAGGTAAAAAAGGTGAAGATGGTTATGACTCGTATAGGGGGCTGGGAATCAGGACTTCTGGCTTCCATTCCTATTTCTGCAGTGATTTGTTCTCTGACCTTAGGAAAGTAACACTACTTCCTTTGCTTCAAATACCCATATGCAAAATGCAGATAAAGATACTGACTTGCTTACCAACATCTTAACATTTGCACATGAAAACATTAGTATTAATATATTATTATTAGACAGGAAGACGTAGACTGACTGAAAAAATTCATACGTCATTCACTCATATGCATAAAAATGTCACTTAGGATGTTACTCAGAAATTGAGGTCTGTGCAACAGGGATAAAATAAACTTGTGAGAAAAAAAATGAAATCTGTGGAGAACAATACTTCTTCCAACCCTGTACTTTTACTTTCTAAGAAACCCCCCTTTTTAAAAAAAAAAAAAAAAAAAAGGACCATCAGTATGGGGAAATCCTTTTGTAAATTATTTTTTG